TCCTCTCTAGATGATTAATGTTCATAAAATAAATAATAAACATTAAAAATACATATATTCATAGAATACCTAGAACTCAGATTTTTTTTTAATATTTTTATTTATTTCTAGGAGAGAGAGAGAGAGAGAGAGACACAGTGTGAGCAGGGGAGGGTCAGAGAGAGGGAGACACAGACTCTGAAATAGGCTCCAGGCTCTGAGCTGGCAGTCAGCACAGAGCCCGATGTGGGGCTCGAACCCACGAACCGTGAGATCATGACCTAAGTGAAAGTCGGATGCTTAACCAACTAAGCCACCCAGGCGCCCCACCTAGAACTCAGATTTGACTTACCTTCACGCACAAACACACTCATGCATAGCCACATGCTTTCACCTGTGTGAGGCCCACTCAGCCAGGTCCTGCGGCTTAGAGCTCAAGCTGACTCTCGTCAGGGTCCCTTCTGCTCATCCCACCCTCACAGGACCCTGAGAAGGGGCTGGGACATGGCCCTCAGGGCCAGGCCTTCAGCCCTCTTGGAAAATACATTCAGGAAATGGTCAGATAAGTCCCAACTTTGGTCTCAAGTTGAATTGGTTAGCAATTCTCTGAAGGCAAACATTGCAAGGAGAGGGAAAGGCCGAACACAAAACACCTAGCTCATTAAAACCTGAATCAGCACAAGGGGCACCTGGGTGGCTCAGTTGGTTAAGAGTCCAACTTGGCTCAGGTCATGATCTTCGTGTGAGTGATTGGGTCCATGGGTTTGAGTCCCGTGTTGGGCTTTGTGCTGACAGCCTGGAGCCTGCTTCAGATTCCATGTCTCCCTCTCTCTCTGCCTCTACCCTGCTCTCTCTCTCTCTTTCAAAAATAAACATTTAAAAAAAAATTTTTAAAAGAAAGAAAAAAAGCATGATTCATTGGACTGGGACAAAAGAATTTTTAATAAATAAGTTTAAACCAGAGTCAGGAGGAATGAGTAGAGACCAAGGCTGATTTTTCTACCTTTTAAATGTAGGGGGAAATCAAAGGTTCACAAAGGTAAACATTTATCCCAGGTCACCCCAGGACAGGTGAGGGCCAGGCTGAGTCCCAAGTTCTGTGTGCCGATGGTTCCAAGTTGCGATCGAAGTCCCTGCCAGGCAGGGCCAAGTGCACAGCCACTGTTTCCATGGTGATGGAGTAGCAAGCTCGGTCACGAAGGCGTGGGTGTGCCTGCTGGCCTCTCAAGGTCGCTCCTTGGTTGGGTCCTCACAGTTAAGATCCCTGTGATCTGGAACTCTGCTCAGAAATCTAATTATCCATCAAAATGAGGAAATTAGGTTCTGAAGGTGGGTAGGGAATTGGGTTGAGGAGTGAGAGATGACTTGTGAAGAGCAGAGCAGGGAGGGATGGAAAGGCCCTGCAGGGTGGGCAGGGTGGGAACGAGGACAGGGCCAATGAAGAAAAAGACAGTGTCCACAGGCCACACACAGCAGCAGGTTCATCCTATGAGAGCTGTAAGAGAGGAGGAGGCCTGTATCAGAGCTGAAGAGGTGAAGGCTTCAGGCCAGCTCTCATTGCAGGAAGTGGGGGAAGAATGGCCCCAGATGGTGCAAAATTCAAACCGTTTTAGTGTCTTTTCAATAGAATTATTTAGGCTCATCCTCCAGTGAACCTTCCTGCCTCCTCTCGGGCCTCTTCCTCTAGGACCGGGATCCTGCTGCAAATAAACAGCAGCTGGTGTCTGTGGGAGCAACGCTGACTCCAGCTAAGCTCAGACTTCTCTGGCTTGGGAGGCCATGGCTGAGGGATCCGGCCTTTACTTTTGGTCTCAGTGTGACTCTGGAAAACCACACCACCAGACATGCTCTGCAGCCAGGGAGATGTGAAGACAGTGGGAGAGAGAGACAGCAGGGCAGGCCCACCCTCAGAGAAAGCCCCTGCTGCCCTGAATAAATTCTGCTTCACAGGTACTGTAGACTCTCCTTAAAGAACACGCAATGCAAATATCCTAACCTTTAAAACACAGTCATTGTGGGGCACCTGGGTGGCTCAGTTGTTTGGGCAGCCAACTTTGGCTCAGGACTGATCTCACCATTTGTGGGTTCGAGCCCCATTTCAGGCTCTGTGCTGACAGCTTAGAGCCTGGAGCCTGCTTCTGATTCTGTGTCTCCCCCTCTCTGCCCCTCCCCTGCTCATGCTCTGTCTCTCTCTCTCTCTCTCTTAAAAATAAATGTTAAAAATGTGTTTTAAAAAAACACAGTCATTGGAAACTGAAAACAAAAAGATTTTTTTTATGAAAATAAAAGGTGAATAAAGATATACCAGGCAAATGTCAGTCAAATCCAGACACCAGGACAACAATCTCAACAATTTACCAAAATAGAATCCAGGAGCACCTGGGTGGCTCAGTTGGTTGAGGATCTAACTCTTGATTTCAGCTCAGGTCGTGGTCCCAGGGTCATGGGCTCCATGGTGAGTGTGGAGCCTGCTTAAGATTCTCTCTCACCCTCTGCCCTTCTCCCTTGCTTGTGCACTCTCTCTCTAAAGTAAAAAATTTTTAAAAAGAATATTCAAAATAGAATCCAAAGCAAGAGGTATCATAGATTACTAAGTGAAAAGAATAATAGAACCAAAAACCATGGTCACTTAATTTCAAAATCGTATAACATCAAAATATATGAAGGAACAACTAACAAACCTGTGAGAAGTCAGTAAATCTCTGGTTGTGGATGGAGATTTAGCACACCTTTCTCAAACACTAGTGGCGCAAGTAGACAAAAGCCACAAGCAAAGATGTAGAATACACTTGAGCTATCAGCTGTAGATGTGATTCAACACCCAGAAGGAAAGGTAACTCTTTTTATTCTTTCCAAGCATGCGTGGAATGTCTAGAAAGAGTGACCATTTACCTCAGTGGGTTTTAAGGAATATATATATTTAGTAACTAATAAATATATATTTATATATAAGGAATATAAAGGAATATGTTTCTATATAAATATAACACATTAATATAATTAACATAAATTAATATTATATTATAATATATTTAAAATACATATTTATATATAATATATTCTCCGACCCTGTAACAATAAATTAGAAATCAATATCAAATGAGTATGTTTTAAAATCCCATATGCTAATAAATAACACTGAGTTTAAAAATTAAAAGAGAAATTGTAAAAAGTCAGCAGTGAACTGTGAAAACACTGCATATCAGAACCTATAAAGCAGTCTGCTTTATAGGAAGTTCTACCAAATTTTCAAGGAATAGATCATATGTTTCAAAATCTAACTGACTCAAACAGTATATTAAGAAAAATTATAACTAATTAGGATGCCTCTGAAGAAGCCATTAAATAGTTCATTGTTTAAAAAAATCTGTCAATGTAGCTTTTTTTTTTTAATTTAAATTTTAGTTACTTTACATATAGTGCAATATTGGTTTCAGGAGTAGAATTTAGTGATTCATCACTTACATACAACACTCAGTGCTCATCACAAGCTCCCTTCTAGGTACCTGTCCCCTTTCTAGCCCATTCCTACCCACCTCCTTCCCTCAACCCTTAGTTTAACTTCACTAGAATAAAAGGAACAATTCTATGATTATCTCAATTTTTGCAGAAACAGTTGATAAAGTTCAATATCTATAAATATATTTTTACAAAGCTCTTAACAAACTGAACAAATTATAAATTGAAAGGAAATGCCTTAACTGAGAAAAAGTTATATATCAGAAAACTTATAGCAAATTTTATGCTGAAGGGAGAAACTATACCCTCACTCCCATTAATATTGAAAGTAATGGGGTGCCTGGGTGGCTCAGTCGGTTAAGCATCCAAGTTCGGCTCAGGTCATTATCTCATGCTTCGTGGGTTCGAGCCTGGCGTCGGGCTCTGTGCTGACAGCTCAGAGCCTGGAGCCTGTTTTGGATTCTGTATCTCCCTCTCTCTCTGACCCTCCCCTGCTCATGCTGTCTCTCTCTCTCTCTCTCTCTCTGTCTCTCAAAAATAAATAAAACATTAAAAAAAATATTGAAAGTAAGACAATGCTCTCCCATCATTGCCATCCTTTAACAAGTCCTAGAGGTCTCAGCCAACAGGAATTTATTTTTTTTAAGAGAAAGAACATAGGGGCACCTGGGTGGCTCAGTCCATTGAGCATCTGATTCCTGATTTCGGCTCAGGTCATGATCTCACAGTTTGTAGGTTTGAGCCCCATGTCAGGCTCTGCGCTGACAGTGTGGGGCCTTCTTGAGATCCTCTGTCTCCCTTTCTCTGCCCCTCCCCTGCTCACACTCTATTTATCTCAAAAATAAATAAACATTAAAAATTAAATAAGAGAGGAAAAACATAAAATTTGGAAAGGAAAAGAAAAAAATACCATTATTTGCCAACAATGGAATCATCTATATCAAGAAACCAAATGGAGTTCATAAAATTTTCCTAACTAAAAATCACTACAGCATTTCTCTTTATCACCGATAATCAATAAGAGAATGATAATAGTACTAAATGATTCACAAGAGTGGCAAAAATTATATCCAAGAATGAATTTAAATGATATCTAAGACTTCCATGGAAAACAAACTTTAACTCTTTTAAAGGACATTTTGAAAGAGCTGAATAAATAGGGTAACATTTCATGATCTCAGGTAGGTTAACATCGTATTTTAAAGATACCTATTTTCTCCCAAATAAATGTATAAATTCAGTGCTATGCCAATAAAAATTATAGCTGATCCTTTTGAGAATTTAATAAACACATTCTAAAATGTTAATGAAAGGAGGCGCCTGGGTGGCTCAGTCGGTTAAGCATCCAACTTCGGCACAGGTTATGATCTCGCGGTTCGGTTTGTGGGTTCAAGCCCCACATCGAGCTCTGTGCTGACAGCCAGCTCAGAGCCTGGAGCCTGTTTCAGATTCTGTATCTGTATCTCCCTCTCTCTCTGACCCTCCCCTGCTCACACTGTCTCTCTCTCTCTCTCTCTCTCAGAAATAAAGCATTAAAATAAAATTAAAATAAAATCCTGATGAAAGAATAAGATCTATATACAGCTAAATCTACATGGAAAAAGAAGAGCATAGAAGGGGAACATAACCTACTAGATATTACCACCTTCCCTAAAGCCCCACTAATGAATCTGCATGCTAACAGCTTGACAGCAATAATGGCCACAAGCATGATAGAGGGTGTTCGAGGCTATGATAAAGTAGAACTGTACTCACGGAGGCCAGGACCTCCTGGGATGATCTCAGGAAAACTGACTCCCAGCATGGGAAAAAATAAAACTGGATACTTTCCTAAAACCATATGAAGTGGTGGAAGCCAGATGGTCCAACACTGCAACGTGGAAGGTAAGACGTTTTATACAAGATAATGCAGAAGAAAAACTTTGTATGCTAGGAATGGAGAATAACTTAAACAGAATCCCAAAAGCACAAAACATAAAGTATTATTGAAAAGGATTGTATCACAGTTAAGGAGTTCTGTTCAACCCAAGAACTCTAGAGCAAAGTTAATATTTTGTGCTTATTTAACAAATATTCATACACTGCATACTGTGTGCCAGGCACTGACTTAGGTGCTTTAAAATACTGACTAATTTAATGTTCTCAGCTGCCCTATGAACTGGGTACTATTATTATCCCCATTTTACAGATAAGATGCTGAGCTGCACAGAGGTTAACTGACCCAGTATCCCATAGGTAATGAGCATGGCCAGAAGGTAAACTCAGGCCATCTCGATGCAAACATCTAGAGCCACATTCTTTTTCTTTTTTAAAGCAAGCTCTGTACCCAACGTGGGCCTTGAACTCGTGATCCCAGATCAAGAGTCACACACTCTACCAACTGAGCCAGCCAGGTACCCCTAGAGACACATTTCTTAACTACTATGCTACACAGCCACTCCACAGAGTGGAGACAGATTGGGACAAGATACTTGTTAAGGTATGTCTAAAACATGTCCCCAAACAAAGGACTAATATTTAGACTATGTAAGGAACTCCTGCAAATCAGCAAGCACAGAACAAGGAAGCCCAACAAGAAAATAATGTGCGTGCCAAGTATAGAAATAGGCAATTCACAGAAGAGATCCAAAAGGACTGACAAGCATATGAACGGAATATTCAAATTCGTTATCAGAAAAATGGAAATTAAACAACAAAATATCACATTATACCTATTGGATTGGGAACAACTGAAAAGCGGGACGGGAGACTGCAGGGGGTTAACTGTTCTACCGTAAACCGGTGTGGCCATGTGGCGAACAACCTCATGGTTGTAATTCCACATATGTATATGACCCAGCAATGCAGCACCTGAGTAGTTCTGCCGTAGTCCATTGCACTGCTATAACTGAGCACCATAAACTGGGTGGCTTATAAACAACAAAAATTTATTTCTCACAGCTCGGTAGGCTGGGAAGTCCAAGATCAAGGCACTAGTTGGTTCTGTGCCTGGGGAGAGCTGACTTTCTGGTTCACGGATGGCTGTTTTCTCCCTATGTCCTCACATGGCAGAGGGTTCCGAGAACTCTGCAAGGTCTCTTTCATAAGGGCATCTATTCCATTCCAAGGGTTCTGCTCTCATGATCTAATCATCTCCCTCTGGAGGTGGAGGTGACTAGATCACGATTAGGTCAGAACCTAACCCATAATCACAGTGGGGTTAGGATCTGAACATGTAAATTTCAGAACACAAACATTCAGTCTATAGCAAGTTCTCTTAAATGTCCTAGAAGGGAATGAATATGCACATGTTCATCTCAGTTTGTTGTGGAGTCAGGGAAGTGGGGCGATCTAGGCGTCTGCTTCCAGATGAATCAACATACATCATAAGATCAATATGCGCTGTGGAATCCCATGCAGCTGTGAGAGACTCACACACCAGATGCACACACAGCAGTACAAACAGACCTCAAAAACATCATGTTGAGTAAAAAAAGGAAACAGAATTAGATCTAAAGCACATTACCATTTATGTAAATTTTTAAAACACATGCATGCAAACCATACCAGATGTTTTATAAATTACACTTATACACAGTTTATGCATGAACTATATATTTTATACATTATATGTTTGTTTATAAACAAAAACACAGAGATACAAATCCAAAATAGGGAATAATTGCCTATGAAGGAAGGAATTGGAAGTGGGAAAGGCCTGTAAAAAGGAATAAATAATGAAAATTAGAAAGCAGTGTGAGAAATTGTGCAAAGATAAAGTGCCCTGAGCCAAGAAATGTGATTGACTCAGCCCTCCATGTCTGGGGTTAAAAAATAAAGTCCAAAATTATGAAACACAGGGACTGATCATTTGTTTTACACAATGGATTCATCCATCAGAGGGTCACAAGCTTCCCTTATCTACTTAGATTATTTTGTTTTAAAAATTAGGTTTCCAGTAAAACTATTAAATAATACATTTTTCAAATAGGGCTGCAGGGCATGCCTTTAGGGAGGTTTGGGTTTTTTCTTTTTGAAAAACAAATATATATCAGATTTATTTGCTATCTTTGTCCTAAAAAGTTACTTCGGTCTAATGTTTAGAGCAGTTGGTCTCCAAAGTAGGGTACAGGTGCCTTAAAACTGGTCACAGCAATCTACTAGGGGATGGAAAGAAAGGTTAGAAATTTAATTTTTATCTTACAACATGAAGAAATTGTTTTATGCCATTTGCTCCACGACTGAAGTTGCAGCTCTTGCTTTTTTGACACATCAGACTGTCCTGGGTTGGAAGTAGTGCACAGGAGTCCTGAGCGACCCTGGAAGAGGCAATGTGGGGTTCTCATTCACTCATTTCTTCTGCAATAGCTGCTGTGTGATGCAGTGACATATGCCCAACTAGATCATCTAGCTTGAACTGGATCCACTCTTACAAAATGACCTTAAGAGATTCTTGCAAGAAAACTACAGAGTGCAGATGAGGTTCATCATGCAAGCCCAGTAGAAAACCAGAAAATGACAGAGATGACCCTTTTCCCATCCCTGATACAAACGCTCCATCAGCCACATTCACAAGAAAAACAGTGACAATCTAATCAGCCACAAATATTAAAATAATCAAGGAGATGATTTGAAGAGTGGATTTACAGCCACTCTTAATCTCCCCGAAGTGCTTTTTTTGCTGAGATACTGGCTCATGGCCATCATGATGAGTCAGACATTGTTGTTTCATATCTAAACAAGAATTTAGAGGCAAGGACCGACCTCTATTTGGTCTTCAGCAGTGTTTAAGGTAAGAAAATATTTAATCCACCACTTTTGACTATTTTTAAAATATTTTTTAATCTTTTTTATTTTGAGAGAGAGAGAGCAGGAGCGGCAGAGAGAGAGAGAATCCCAAGCGGGCTCCACAATCAGCTGTCAGTGCAGAGCCCAATGCTGGGCTCAAAGTCACAAACTATGAGATCATTACCTGAGCCAAAGTTGGACGCTTAACGGACTGACCCACCCAGGCGCCCACACACCACTTTTGAAAAGCTCACTGAACTTCATGATAAATTTTAAAACTTCTTTCAAGTCTTCTCATTTCATAGCAACAGACTAACAAACTCACTTACTTGGGAAACATTGTTTTTCCTGCTGAGGAAAAAATATGACTGAAATAAAATATGAAAGCCAATAGCAACAGACTAAACATAATCCTTGTTAGCAGGTACTGCTGAAAAACAGCAGTTCAAATCTTGGTGAGCATTTGAAGGAGGAGGCATCAAAGCAAATTAATTACTTGAGGAAGTTTATTATACAATTAGATGCAAGTACAGATGTCCCTAACATGTCTTGACTTATAGTATTTGTTAGATTCTATTAATAATGCAACGTGCCTTAAAAAGTCTTTTTTTTTTTTTAATGAGCTGTTGAAAGAAGCCCTGGAGATGTACTCACCATTAAATGATATCCTTAAATACAAATAAAGTCTTATGGGAAGACTATGTAAAATGTAGCCATGGAGAGAGCTACTGCTTTAACCAGAATTCTCTCTCTCTCTCTCTTTTTTAATGTAACAAATTCTGGGCTTAGGTTTACAAATAAAGCACCTCACTTGCAATTCATTTGCAGACAAGTTACTGTGGCATAGAAGTGGATGTCACAATGCAAGGGTAAGTGTCGCTGGATGTCTCTGATGTTAGTTTTATAAAAACAAGACCTTTCTTGAGGGTGTTATGCTGAGTGAAATAAGTCAGGCAGAGAAGGACAAATATCATATGTCTGCACGTATAGGAGGATTAGGAGGAACTTAACTGAGGAACAAGGGGGAGAAGAAGCGGGGAAATGGTGGGGGAAAGGGAGAGAGGCAAACCATGAGAGACTCTTGAATGCTGACAAAAACTGAGGACTGATGGATGTGGGGGGAAGGGGGGAGGGGCATGGAGGAGGGCACTTGTGGGGATGAGCACTGGGTGTTATGTGGAAACTAATTTGACAATAAACTATTTGTAAAAAAATAAATAAATAAAAATAAATAAATAAACCAAGACCTTTCAACTTTCATCGCGAGTGATCGTTAAACCTTGTACCACAATGGTTGCCTCTTAAGAGACTTGAGAACTCAACCCTTCTTCTTGTACAAGATGTTCCAAGTTGGCTGATGTTTTCTCTGATGACAAGGGGCACGCAATAGTCTGCCTGACAACAGATTTTATTAAGATATGTAAATGAAAAAGTCTTCAAGGTAACAGTAAAGCTGTAACTAAGAGTGAAGAAAGAACTCTTTTAGAAACAAAGCTGTGTATTGGAGATGGCATTATTAAAATCGAAGTCTGGGTATGTTTGCGTCATTGTGCAACCTAGGTGTGACACTTAACAAAAATCCTGGTGTCTACACACTTTAAAAACTTAGAAACATCAAGAAAATGAAAAGACAACCCAAAGGATGGGGGGGGAGGGAAATATTTGCAAATCATATATCTGATATCATATAACATACTAAGAACACTTAAAAGTAAACAACCCAACTTAAAAATGGGCAAGAGATTTGAACAGACATTTCTCCAGAGAATATACACAAATGTCCAATAAGCACATGGAGACATGTATAACATCATTAGTAATTAAGGAAGTATAAATCAAAACCACAATGAGGTACCACTTCACACAAACTAGGGAGGCTGTAATAAAAAAATATAGTAATAAGAGTCGGCAAAAAAAAAAAAAAAGTAGAGAAATTGGAGCCCTCAAGTTGCTGGTAGGGATGCAAAATGGTGTAGCCACTTTGGGAAACAACCTTCCAGTTACTCTGTGCTGACAGCTTCAGAGCCTGAAGCCTACTTTGGATTCTATGTCTCCCTCTCTCTCTGCCCCTCCCCCAATCATGCTCACTCACTCTCTCTCTCTCTCTCTCAAAAATAAACATTTTTAAAACATTTTTAAGAAAATAAACACACAGTTACCGTATGACCATAGCTGCAGTGTTAAGTATGTGTTGATAAGAATTGAAAACATATGGGGGTGCCTGAATGGCTCAGTTGGTTAACGTCCAACTCCGGTTCAGGTCATGAACTCCCGGTTTGTGGGTTCAAGCCTGGTGTTGGGCTCTGTGCTGACAGATCAGCGTCTGAAGCTGCTTTGGATTCTGTGTATCTCTTTCTCTGCCCCTCCCCTGCTCGCTCGCTCTCTCTCTCTCTCAAAAATAAATAAACGTTAAAAATTTAAAAAGAAAAAGAAAAGCAACCGGGATACCTCATGCCTTCCTGAGCCAGCAGTGTCCTCTCCTGCTGTCTCCGATGTTACAGGACAGGTATTTCTGACACACTGGGGACACACACAACATAGACTCACTATCAGAGCCAGAAGGAAACCCAGCCATTACCCAGTGCTAACTCCCATTTTACACGTAAGGGCAGTGGGGGACCAGGATGGGGGAGTGATGCGCCCAGTTCACACAGATGCACAGACACAAAAGAAATTTCACATGATACAAGCCAGTGTTCCTGAGATGGCCTGTAATTAAGAATTGTGGAAAGGGGTGCCTGGGTGGCTTAGTCCGTTAAGTGTCTGACTTCAGCTCAGGTCATGATCTCACATTCTGTGAGTCTGAGCCAGGGTCAGGCTCTTTGCTGACAGCTCAGAGCTCTGAGCCTGTTTCGGATTCTGTGTGTGTGTGTGTGTCTCTCTCTCTGCCCCTCACCTGCTCACCCTCTGTCTCTCTCACTCTTAAAAATAAACATAAAAAATTTAAAAAAAAAAAGAATTGTGGAACAATAATAATAGCTCATCAAGAACTTTCCCCATGCCACATATTATCTAAAGCAATGTTTTCAAACTCTAAGTCATGACCTGATATTCCTGAGAAAACTCTTTAGTAAATTGAAACCAGGATAAAGTACAGACTAGAATAGGATCCATCGAAGTACGTCACTTAGAGCGCCTGAGTGGCTCAGTCTGTGAAGCAAACGACTCTTGATTTCTTTTTTTTTTTTTTTTTGCAAATAGTTTATTGTCAAATTAGTTTCTACATAACACTCAGTGCTCATCCCCAAAGTGCCCTCCTTCATGCCCATCCCCCCCTCCCCCCTACATCCATCAGTCCTCAGTTTTTGTCAGC